AGGTGGAATTCCAGTTAGAATTCTAAAAGGGAAGATGATTTATGGTTCTGATTATAAAGAATGTTACTTTTACACAGGAGACTAGTTGAAAGTGATAGAAGACATTTAAATTAAAGTGCATAATCTTACAATAAGGGGAAAAAGAGGATTCAGCTAAAGAAAAGGAAGTGATCACCCAGGAGCACAAATATAGAGAGATAAACCAAAGACAATAGAAACGGCACAAGCATTTAAGAATAAAGAAGAAAGCTAACAGCTGGTTAAAGTACCTTACTCATCTTTATTTTATTTATTTATTTATTTTACTGGTGAAGGTACTATAATTTTAATTACATATTAAATGTTAGAAAATGGAACTGAGGAGGGAATTCCTTATTTATATTAAAAGGTAAGTTACCAAAAATTCTATTCTTTTTTTTTAACATCTTTATCGGACGTTACTCATCTTTATATTCCCCCGTTGGCACAATGTTTGACATGTAACAGGCATGAAATAAACAATTCTTGAATTTGACTGCTTAGGTTCAGCAGCTAATTCCAGAGAAAAAGCAGTAAGCCCCTCACTCCAACTGTCTTTCTTGTCTCTGTCAAGTTTAACATAACCCCAAACCAATGAGAAAATCACATAAGAAAGCTTTGAGGACTCTACATAAGATCAAGTTTTCTTTGTAAGCAAGGTAAAGGATCTTGAGTTCTCAGAGAGCTCACCTACAACATTACTTCATAATTATCAGTAACCTAGGAGGACGTCTGCAAAAAGGGAGCAGTACTAAAACACCAAAGCATAGCAAATGTCACAATTTTCAAAACAGAAGTGACTTTCCATAAATGTTAATCCCAGACAAAACTGTAGAATGGATAACAAATACATATGTATGCATAAAAATATAAAATGTAGCAGTCCCTCAGACCACATGCATTCTCAAAATAATTCATGTCAAATTAACCCCACTACCTTTTTGACTGGGTTACTATGAAAGAAACCAACACAAATTAAGCACCATCTATTCATCAAACAGCAACAGCAAACATTCCTTAAACAAACACTGTGCCAGGAGGTTTAAATACTATGGCTCTCTAATCCACATAAAAATCCTATGAGTGAGAGTCTCCCATTTCATGGATAAAGAGCCAGCTACAAACAGTAGAATAATCTGCCAAAATCATGACGGCTAAAAATCAGGAGCCAAAAATTCAAACTAACTTCAAAGTCCTGTCCCTTTCTACTACATCATATGGCCTCCTAATGCAGAAAAAACAATGTATCTTGTTCTTTTCCAAGCATTTGACAAAGTATCTCATGATATCCCCTATGGGCAAGATTGATGTAGCTAGGGCAAAAAAAGTTAGATTTGTAACGCTGGAGTAGCCATTTTCATTAAAGGCTTCTTGTCCAGTAGGTAGCAGCCCACAACAGTCAGTCTTGTTTCCTGTTTCTATTACCATTAATATGTATAACACTCCATTTATAACTGTTTCTCAGTCAAGAGGAAAGAGGACTGTGGCCTGTGCATGATCTGGAAAAAGCTCCACCCTAAGATTCTTCATATTTAAAGAGAAATATACCTCTGGTCACGTGTCACTGGACTATAGTGAGACTTGTGAAGAGCTCTGTACTTGGCCCTCTCTCTCCCCTTTCTTTCAGAGTCTGTTAATGACTGATGAGAACACTGAAGACATTCTTACCAAATCTTCAGGTGACAAAGTTAAAATGAGTAGCTAATCCAGCAGTAGAGACCATGCCTTATTTTTCTTTGCATGTCCAGGACCCAACCTAGTGGCTGACCCACAGGAGCTCCATCAATGTTTCTTGAATTACAAAATCAAAATTCAAAAGGATATTAACAGACACTAACCACTGGAGCAAGTTTATCAAAGCCAACTTTAATAGATCAAATTCATTAGGGAAAAAAAGATTTAACTACAAAATCAAAGGAAAATGAACAAATGTAAAGTTTTTCTTTCTTCTTCCCTCCCTCCCTCCCTCCCTTCCTTCCTCCCTCCCTCCCTCTGTCTCTTTTTTTCAGCAAATAAGTCTAAGACAGCAGGCCCAATATTAATCAATGGGACAGCTGCCCAAAAGCTCAAAGAATCTTTTCTGTAATACTTCAGTATTAGAAAAGGATTCTCCACAGGGGAGGTCATAGCCTGCACTTCTTTGCACAGATCAAACCACACTTGGAATCATTTCTACAGTTGAAGGCATCATATTTTAAGAAAAGTGGACAATGATTAGTGAAATGTCTAGAAGAGATGTCAAAATAGTGATATGATTTAGAACAATGTTATAGGAGATCCACTAAAAGGAACCAGAGGTGTTTACCCAAAAGAAGACAAGACTCAAGGGGATGTAAGAGCCATCTTCAACTATCAGAAGGGATGCCATGTATGACTAAGATTCAGAGAGCAGGGAAAGAGATTTTGTCTCTAGACGCAGAAAAATGAATTGGAAAGTAGACCTGTCCAAAAATGAAATGTGCCACCTCAGGACATAGAGTTTTCCACCTTCTATAACAGTTCATCTCACCTCCAAGATGTTCAGACTAAAGTAGACAATCACTTGACTGAAATATTAAACAAAAGACTGAATTAGTGAACCATAAATTATCTTGGGTTCCTCTCAGTCTTTAAAATAGGAATGCATGAGAGTGTACTTTGCAAAGCATAAAATATTTTACAAAGATAGGTAGTAGGTAGTTCCGCTGACAAGAAAAAAAGAGAAATTCTTCCCCTCATATCTCATGATGCATTAGCTCCTCTCCATCTGGAAATGAAAGGCATACAAGACTGTGTCTTATGGGTCTGATGGAAGTCAAATTTCTCTGAAAACATTATTTAAAAAGATGAAATGAACTGATATCTAAGAGAAGAAGATTGAATATAATGCTGTTTCCATACATTGGTATGGAAAAATCCTCAATTCTGGAACATAGTCCAGATACCGTTTGTGATGACAGTTATATGCTATGCTTTTGATACTAGAGATCTACCATAACTTCATTCTCTCCTATGTATCAATAGATTTCAGTGGTTTCCTCTCAGATATTTAAAATCTTTAGCCAGCTTTTAGCTTCGAGGATGTTTTTGGAATGTATAATGAAAGTGTAATTTTTAGGTTGAAGGGCTAAATTATCTTTAAAAAAATTAAGAGCTCAGTTACAATGGTCTTCTCTTTTCTCTAAGGTCTGTAGCACAAAAGAAACCACTAAGGGGTGGTTTACCAATATCCAGAGATAGTGTGACTTATTGCTCAAAATCTGAAGTCATAACTAGATTCAAATTTCAGCTTGGGCACCAAGACTTGTGGCAATAAGATAGCCAGCAAATTACTCAACTTAACCACACCTGTCTCATCACCTGTAAAATGAGGTTAATAAAACTATCCACCTCAAAGGCTGTCATAAGAACTAAAAGACAGAAGAAAAGTAAAATACTCATCACAGTAAGAACTAAGTGTTAGCTATTGTTATTACTTTACCTAAATGAATTTCTAAATTTCCAACTGAGCATAGGTATTTACCCTAAGAATTTCCTTGATCTCACTAATAACACTCAATTGTAATTATCAAAATTGTGTTAAGTGACCTTGTATAAGAATGTAGGGGAAAAATGCAGGTTCCTGACATTCACTTTTTCAGATAGTATGCTTTATATAGGAGTAAAAACAGAGGTGTAAAAATAGAACATGGAATCAGAACCAGAGCATCTTTGTAAATTCTAGACTCAGTGGTTTAATAATAGCATCAAACATCAAATGTCACAACAATCAGGAGACTGTGCATTCTATTAAATAGTGTCCATGTACTTACACACTACACAATCACTAATTAAGATCTATTGTGCAATTTAGGGTAATAATAACGATGGAGAACTTACACTGGACCAGCTCCTAAGTGCTTTTATGTATACCTGTCCTGACAACCCAATGAACTAGATACGATTATTATGGCCATTTTAACAGATGAAGAAACTTAGGCACAGACAGGTTAATTAACTTGGCCAAGATCACACAGCTAGTTTAAACGGATGGAGGTGCGATATGAACCTAGACAATCAGGCTCAAAAATTCATTAGACTTGACTGCCTCTGACTGAATTGATCAAGGCAGATTCGCTGTATATTTCTTCTAATACGTGAAAACTGATTTCTTTGGAAGAGGGGGAGACTCCAACGACCTCAAAGGTCTGACTTCACGCCCAATGAATTATTACATTTTAACACTTTTCTGACTAACAATCACGTATCTGCAGGTGAAAGCCGGCCCTACATTACAAGCAAAGAAAATAAATAGCAGCAGCAGCTAAGCTGTTAGTTTGAGGACCAACTGTTGGCCAGTATTCACATGACGTTTCCATGTGAATATGGGTCGTCCCACATCGCCGAATATGTGACCCACAAGTCAGCAATGGAACTGCGTAACCCACACGGGCAAGCGGTCATTTCAAAAACCCTCCGGAGAGGAATGTCTTGCCAATCAGCACGTTACTCGAAGACAGGACAAAATGGAACTTGCACAAACACTTAGTCATCAGTAAGCGCTGAAGTTACAAATCACCTAGTTAGCAAAATCAAATCCGCAGCTAAATTCCTAATTCCGAAAGAAAGAAAAAGGGCTGACACTCGGTTGACTGACCGAGTGTGAAGTAGGTCAGTAGGGTGTAGGCACCCTACTGAAGTAGGGTGAAGGCACCTAGGGCCCAAGCGGAAGCAAATCAAAGGGGAAACACTAGCGCACCGACGGGGATTCCACGACACGCGCTGCCACACTGGGGACTTTTCAGGGCCCTTCCACTCCCCTCCCAACAGCCTGTCCTTACGTGTCCAGGCTGCCCCGACCACGCGTGTTCCCAGGGCGAATTCGGAAAGGCAATCCGAACGCGGAGGTGATAGGCCTGAGATGTGAGAGCCCACACCCAGACGACGGTGTGGCAGCAAAGTCCTCAGAGCCCCGGAGGAGTAGGGGCCCCGAGGCGCCACCTCCCGCTCCCCGGGGCCCGCACCTGCAGAGTGGTGATGTGCTTGTCGTTGAACTTGTTTTCGCAGTAGCGCAGCACCAGCGACGTCTTTCCCACGCAGCCTTCCCCCAGCAGCACCACCTTGAACGAGTAGGCTCGCCCGGCCGCCGCCCCGCCGCCGCCGGCCGCAGCCATCCCGTCGCGTCCCCGCCGCCGGAGCCCTAGAGCCGCGCCGAGCTCTCCACAGCCGCCGCAGCGCCTTCACAGCCGCGGCCGGCGCAGCCCCTCCTCACCGGAGCTGCCAGCCCCGGGCGCCGTCTCCACTCCCGCCTCCGGGCGAGGCCTGGAAAGGCCGAGGGAAAGTCCGAGAATGAAGGGCCCCAGCCACCACGTCAGGCACCCGAGGAAAGGCGAACAGCACTCCCTCTCCGCCTCCCTCTAATGGCGTCTCCTTCCTCCTACGTCACACTTTCGGGTCACATGACCGCCGCGGCCCCCGGGACTCGGCCCAGGAGAACATGCCTGGACGTAGGCGGGGCTTCTGAGCCTCTTCCCGGGGGCGAGCTGGACGCGAGGGGACCACGTCTGGGCCGTCTCCCGCAGAGCTAGGCCGTCTGCGGGCCACTACCACTCTGCAGTTGGTGGGAACCTGCGGGAATAAGGAATGAATAATTAGAGGCAAGCCCAGCTCAGGTGGAATATTGAAGTGCAGAATGTTCTCGTTCTTGCCCAGGGGCTGTCCACCTCTCCCATCCGGGGTCCCCGTAAACCGAATCTATCAAGGTGTCCTTCAGTACCTTGACAGTGTTTCTCTGGGGGATCCCAAATCCTAGCTATTGAACTTCTTTCAGTTCCCCAGACCACCTGGACTCCTCATCTTTCAGGTCTCAGCTTAAACAGGAAAGGCTTCCCTGACCACCCATCCTTCTCCCTCTGTCCTTCCATCACTCTCCCCACCCAAGTTAGGTATTTCATAACACTGGTATACCTTGTCTAGCGGCGCTTACCACGCTTCGTGGAAATTACTTTGCTGAATACTTGTCTTTCCTTTTTAGGCTGTAGATTTGTTAAGGACAAGAACTAGGTGAGACGTGCTTTGACTTTCTGACTCCAAGCCAGGCACATAAGAGGCATTCTATAAATATTTGGGAATGAATGAGTAAACAATACATCTTAAGCCATTATGCCTTGGTTTCCTAGTTTTTCTGTCTTCCATGAAGCTTCCCGCTCCCCCACCATTAAACTTCTGACCTTTTCTATTGACTCCACCTTGACAAACCTGGCTTGTTGGATCATCACTTATATTTCCTTATCTGCCTCCCCTTTCTTTCATGAAATACACTCTTCCAAGAAACCATACTAGTGTTTCTAAAAGTTTGCAACTAGAAATGTGACGTCAGTTAGGTAAACATATTCTTTCTCATGAGACTCCTTTCCCACGTCAAACCAGATAGTCCATTCATTCATTCAACAAATATTTGAAGGTGCCCACCATATGCCAGGCACTGTGCTGAACAAGATACAATGTCTTTCACTGCAGCACTATTTACAATAGCCAGGACATGGAAGCAACCTAAGTGTCCATTGACAGATGAATGGATGAAGAAGATGTGGCACCTATATACAATGGAATATTACTCAGCCATAAAAAGAAACGAAATTGAGTTATTTGTAGTGAGGTGGATGGACCTAGAGTCTGTCATACAGAGTGAAGTAAGTCAGAAAGAGAAAAACAAATACCGTATGATAACACATATATATGGAATCTAAAAAAAAAAAAGTTATGAAGAACCCAGGGGCAGGACAGGAATAAAGACGCAGACATAGAGAATGGACTTGAGGACATGGGAGGGGGAAGGTAAGCTGGGACTAAATGAGAGAGTGGCATTGACATATATACACTACCAAATGTAAAATTGATAGCTAGTGGGAAGCAGCCGCATAGCACAGGGAGATCAGCTCAGTGCTTTGTGACCACCTAGAGCGGTGGGATAGGGAGGGTGGGAGGGAGACGCAAGAGGGAGGGGATATGGGGATATATGTATACATATAGCTGATTCACTTTGTTATACAGCAGAAACTAACACAACATTGTAAAGCAATTATACTCCAATAAAGAGGTTTAAAAAAAAAGATACAGGGTTTCCCTGGTGGGGCAGTAGCTGAGAGTCCGCCTGACGATGCAGGGAACACGGGTTCGTGCCCCGGTCCGGGAAGATCCCACATGCCGCGAAGCGGCTGGGCCCATGAGCCATGGCCGCTGAGCCTGCGCGTCCAGAGCCTGTGCTCCGCAACAGGAAAAAAAAAAAAAAGAAACAATGTCTTCGTCATCAAGAACTTACTCTTTATCAGGAAAGACAGACACGGTCATTATATGATAGAATGCTTTCATCTTGATAAAGCAGTTCAGGGTATTTTGCAGATGTATATGGGGACCCAATTGGTTTAGCATACTAGGGAAAGCTCCTGGTATGCTACCTTTGATATCCCCAATGCTACATTTGGGTAGGAGTAACCTAGGTAAGAAGGAAGGAGAGCTTTGCCAGCAGAGAGAATAGCATGTCCTACAGCCTTGAGGTAGGAAGGAGCATCAAAAGATGAGAAACAAGTGCGAGAAGAACACGGAGAGCTTCAGATGAGACTGGCATGGAAACCAGGAATCAATACTGAAAGGACCTTTCAGCAAACGAAGGGTTTTAATTAAAGGTGCTGATATAATCAGAGTCGACTTTTAAAAGATCACTCTGGCTGTAATTTGAAAAATGGATTGGAGAAGGATAATACCACTTCAATTTATTTAGAATCAGCCATTAAAGAGAGCTTATGTTTTAAAAAATATATATCCTCTACTTCTCTCTGCATTCCTCCTCTCAGGGTCTTTGCATATTCATGAATTCTTCCAGAATAAGGAAGAAACTTCACTTTGAATGGGGCCCTTTCCATTATCCATTCTGAATTCTTAATATTGGATTGAAATTTGCCTCTCTCTGCCTGCAATTAATTGTTCCTCATTCAACCTACACAACATGTATCTAATCTCTGTTCTTTGTGAAACATCTTTATACATATGAAGAAAGCTGTCTGATCTTCCTTTAAGCCTTCTTTTTTCTTCCCTCCTCTTTTCAATATAGCCAATGCTCTCAACCACTGTTCAAATGATATGGATCCCAGATCATTTAATAGCTTGATCATCTTAGAATCTACATGCAGTACTTTGTATTTATCACTGAAAAACAATGCTAATTTTTTTATTGTAAAATAAAATAAGTTTAAAGTTAAAATAATTTTCCAGGTTTAGCTTACACTGGGATTTAAGGAATGTGTGCCAAATGTTCACAGAATATAATAAGTCAGTTTGGCATAATTTTGAGCACAGAGTGGGTAAATATAGATGTAAGTTGTGGCAGGTTGGTAATGGCCCCTCAAAGACATCAGGTTTGAATACCTTGTGCCTGTAAATGTTGCCTTATTTGGAAAATGGGTCTTTTCAGATGTGATTAAATTTAGGATCTTGAGATGGAGAAATTTTTTTGGATTATCTGGGTGGGCCGAAAGGCAATCACAAATATCCTTATAAGAGGAAAGCAGAAGGAGATGCTACACACACAAAAGAGAAGGCAATGTGACCATGGAGACAGAGATTAGAGTGATGCAGCCACAAGCCAAGGAAAGCTGACATCCACCAGAAGCTAAAAGAGATGAACAGATTTCCCCCCAGAGTCTCTGGAGGGAGTACAGCCCTGCCAACACATTCATTTCAACCTAGTGAAACTGATTTTGGACTCCTGAACTCCAGAACTGGAAGAGACTAAATATATGTTGTTTTACACCACTAAGTTTGTGATAATTTGTTACAGAAGCCATAGGAAACTAATACATAAGTATACTGGAGCTACACAAGTGGCTTATATTAGTCTAAGCATTGAAAGAAATTCAGGCTAATTCTGAGATAGCTTGTGTGCTCATAAGAACTTAGATCAGTTTTGGAGTCAACTGTGATTGGTCTGTATAAACTTGATAGAAGATGCCACAAAAAACTGGAACTCTAGTGCCTTCATAGATGGGAGCTACAAAAATGTGAGGACCCCTCAGTCAGTAGATATCTCAAAATAGATTCCTGATTGGTGAGGGCTGAGGCATGGTAGGGTGCAAATTCCAAAGCATACAGCTCCTTTTCACCAAAAACAATCGTCTTCCTGCCTCCCTCTCCCACCCACCCAAAAAACCCCCCAAACCCCAAGCATAATTATACAGGTGAAATCTACTTAACCATGAATGTGTAGCACAGTATCATATGGGAAAAGTTGCCACAGAAAGGTAATGTGTAGCTCTAACAGCTTCTGTAAAAGGGGAAGAATCATCCCACCAGTTTTGTGGTGGTTATCAGATTGGGTTTATGGACTACTTTTAAAGTCTGTAAGTCCTAGTTTTTTTAATGGCCCCTTCTTTCTCTCCCTGTTCTTATACTATATTGTGGATTAAGACTAACCTCATGGTCTCTAGTGTGACTACCTGGGGCTCTCAATTGTTGAATTTTGATGAACTATCCAGTATTGAAGAGTCAGGGAATGTTTATTTGTTCATTTGGGAGGGAGGGTGACTGTCGATGGCCTTTTGTACATCCTTGTTTCATTCATTCTTTGTTCATTCATTCATCATTGAACAAGTATTTATTTAGCATTTACTATGTGTCAGATACTGTACTACAAATGTAATCCTGTCAGACATGACTTCTGCCCTTATGGAATTTATACTCTAATGGGCACCACAAATAATTAAAACAGTTACAATAAAGTATGGTAAATGGTCTATAGGACAGGTACAAGGAGCTATGGAACCACATAGGAATAGCAACTAACCCAGCTGTTCCACAAGATAAATCAGATCAAATGGACACATTCCTTTATCTTCAATTTTCTCAGTATTTGGGCAGATTTGACTCAGCTGACCACTCTCTCTTTTGTGGCATGTGTGCCTCCCTTTGCTTCTGGGTCATCACAGTCTTCCAGTTTTCCCCTACTTTACTGGCTGCTTCTTTTCCATCTCTTTGCTTGCTGCTCCACCTGTTCCCAACCTCTAAATGCTAGTGGGCTTCCAGACTCAGTTGTCTCCAATAAAGCTCTCCCTCTAAGTGATCACACCCAGTCCTTTGGTGTGAAATATCTGTTACATATTCATTACTCCTAAATGTACATCTTTCACTCCTGATCACTCCCCTGTGCACCAGATACGTATAGGCAACTCCTATTTAACATCATCACTCAAATGTCAAATAGACATATCAAACACGATAGTTTAAAACGGATCCCTCAATTTCTCTCCAAAAGTTATTCCTCCCCTGGTTTTTCCTGTCTTGGTAAAGAGTTCTATTATACATCTATTTGCTAGAGCTAAAACCTAGCTGATATCTTTTTGTTTTCTCTTA